ACTGGGCAGTCGGTCAGGGAGCCGACCACAGGGGAGAGGTCGACCAAGAAGTCGACCGAGGTGCAGCAGGACGACGAGGGCAGCGAAGACGGTGACGCCGGGGAGTCCACCAAGAGTGACGTGGTGGAGGTTCGGCCGGAAACCCAGAAGTCGGACAGAGTTCGGAGGCCGCCGGACTTCTTTGTCCCCGCTGCCTTCACCACGGTCTACGACGTCGACGATGATGACGACCTGCTGTACGACAACGCCGAGGATGATGAGGACTTTCCGGAGCTCGACCCGGACATGCTGGCCGACCCCGAACACCGCTGGGACATCTCGACGATGACGGTGAAGGAGGCGTTGGCGAGCTGGAAGGGTCCGGCGGTGAAGGCCGCCATGGAGGAGAAGATCCGCAGCCTCATCAACATGGGGACTTGGGAGCTGGTCGAACGCCCGCCGGGAGTCAACATCATGAAGAACCGGTGGGTGTTGACGACGAAGTACCACGTTGACGACACCGTTGAGCGCGAGAAGGCGAGGCTGGTCGTGAAGGGCTTCACTCAGGTGTACGGCGCCGACTACGACGAGACGTTCGCGCCGGTGGGCAGCTACGTCACGCTGAGGATCTTCCTCAGCATCGTCGCCGTCCTCAACCTCAACCTGATGTAGCTCGACATGAAGAACGCCTTCCTGCAGAGCAAGCTTGACCGGGTGCTCTATATGTCCCAGCCGGACTACTTCAACGATGGAACCGGCCGGGTCTGTAAGCTGCTGAAGAGCCTGCACGGGCTGAAGCAGTCGCCGCTGTTGTGGTACTTGGCGCTCAACGACGTGCTGGTCGGCGCCGGGTGGAAGAAGAGCCAGGTCGACGAGGCTCTTTACTTCAAGGTTGGAGAGGCCGGAGTGGCCTGCTGGGTGCTGGTCTACGTCGACGACCTGCTCGCCGCTAGCAGCAGCAGCGAGATGCTGAAGGAGCTGCTGGAGTCCGCCTTCGAGCTGCGTGAGATCTCGCCGGTGCAGAAGTACCTCGGGCTGGAGATCGTCCGTGACAGGTCGGCGGGGAAGCTGTGGCTGCACCAACAGGGCTACGCCGATAAGTTGCGTAGGCGTTTCATCGACGAAGAGCAGACCGGGCGGACTCCGAAGACGCCGGTCTCGGTCGGTGCCTACGCCGAGCTCACCTTTGACGACGAGGAGGCGCAGGAGCGACAGGAGGAGGAGTACCGGCAGAAGGTCGGCTCGCTGCAGTTCGCGGCGACGACGACGAGGCCGGACGTCGCCTTCGCGTGCAGCAAGCTGGGGAGCGGCCTCACGGTGAGGAGCGACCAGCACTGGCGCGAGGTCGACCGCTGCCTCGCCTACCTCGCCAACACGCATGACACCGCCCTGGAGTTCGGCGGTGGACCTGAGTCGCTGGATCTGGTCGGCTACGTGGACGCCGACGACGCCGGTGACAAGCAGAACAGGACGAGCACGGGCGGCTACGTGTTTGTCTACGGAGGGGCCGCAGTCTCCTAGTCGAGCCAGCGCATCAAGTGCGCGACGTTGTCTTCGACCGAGTTGGAGTACGTGGCGGCCACGGAAGCCGGGAAGGAGGGACGTCGACTTCGCTTCCTCCTCGCAGAGTTCCGGTAGCTGGATGCTGGGAAGCCGACCGTCCTTCGGGTGGACAACAAGTCGGCCATCACAGTCGCCGAGGGCATGGGGTTGACGGGCAACCTCAAGCACATGGAGCGGCGACAGGCCTGGCTGCAGCACATGGTGAAGCGCGGGAAGTTCTCGCTGCTGTACATCCCGACCGCTGAGCAGCCGGCCGACTTCCTGACAAAGGCGCTGCACTATTCGGCCTTCAACCGGTGCTCCGTCGCCATCGGCCATGTGCGCTTGGCCGACGTGGGCGACAAAGTTGACGAAGTGCAGCAGTAGGTGCCATGCCCTCTTGCATGGCTGGTGCGGTGGACGACGTGCTGTGTGTTGCGTGCACGTCAACGAGCTGTTCGCCGAGAGGTACTGCCGTGTGGGCTGGGGGCCCAAGCATGAACGCGGCAGGGGAGTGTCAACGGGAGTTGTATGTTGGCCCCGTCCACGCTTGGGCGTAGCCGACTTCGTGGTCGGGCGTAGGGTGCAGCCGACCTGCAGCAGTGGGCGAGTTGGTCGACGAGGTTAGTCGACCTGCACGGGGAGCCACTGCATGGGCGCCGACTTCACGAGGGCGCCAACTTCTTCTGGTCGACCCGGGACGTCGATCAGACCTTCTGGTCAACCTGGGACGTCGACCAGACCTTCTGGTCGACCCGGGACGTCGACCAGACCATCCTGGTCGACCTGGGAATTTGACCAGCCCTTTTGGTCGACCTGGGACGTCGACCAGACCTTCTGGTCGACCAAGAGTGACGTCGACTTGGAGCTGGTCGACCAGGGAGTAGTGGTCGACCTGGGGAGGTCGACTGGGGGTGGTCGTCGACTTGGGAGGTCGACGGGCACGCGCAGGAGCAGCTGGTCGACCTGGTTGCCCGGTCAACCATGCTACTTGGGTGACGAGGGTCTGCGAAGGCACGCGAAGGTCGCCCAGGCGAAGTTGGCGAGCCTGACCTCGGTGGTGGTATCTCGAGGTCGTCGTGGCGGATCAGAGGCAGTCGTCAGCGCGAGGTTGACGTGGTGTGTGCGCTGTGCAGGTGACGGGACTCTGCGCACACCTGCGAAGCGGGTGCGCTGCTGTTCTGCGTGAGCAACGCTGGCATGCCGTCAACCTGCGATGTTGGCACGCCGTCGACCTTGCACTGCTGGAGCGCGGTCGACCAAGTCGTGCTGGAACGCGGTCGACCAAGCTGCGCTGGCAGTTGGCCGACCTGAATGCTAGCTCTTATGTAGTCTTGTATTGCCAACTTCATTGTATCATTGTTGTCAACCTTTTCTTAGTGAAACTCTTGCCAAATTACCCCGTGAACTAGCAAGCAGTGTATGCACTAGGAAAACGACTAAGGACCAACTAACACAGAGATCACACGAGCACCCGTGCCTAGTCAGTAGTCTGGCTCCCGTTGTATTAGTTATCTCCGCAGGCGCAACATACCGACCTTGGTCATGCAAGTTTTAATATATATTTCAAAAAACAAAGAGTAGGAGCTTATTCTGAGCTTTATAACTGTCTTAGTCTTGCTGACTCCCCAACCCTCAACTCCGTGAAAACCCATTTAATCCAACTCCTGAAACATACGAAGGAACTATCTCAAGTCCCCATGTTACTCAATGGCTAGCAGCCGTCATTGCGGAATGTGAGACTTTCACACGCACTAACTCAGACAGCAATGTTTCACCTTTTTGTCTGGGGTCAACATTGTTCATAGCAAGTGGGTGTTCCGCGTTAAACAACTACCCGGTGAATTGCCAGTCTTCAAAGCCCGATACTGTGCAAGGGTTTCACTCAGAGACTAGTTGTGCTATTGGACGAGATGGCTGTGTCCAATGCCAGGTCCACACATATGAGGCTAGCAGTTTGACACCTTCGTTCGTGCAGACTGGTGGGCAACCTGCCTCAGGGCCTGGCTTGGTCCAACGCCAGCCCTTGTTCATGCCCAACATACATCCTCATTCTCAAATCGGTTTGCCTTGGTGTCACCACATGTAGGAACTCTCAGTTGAGCACATCTACTCTGCCGTGTATGCTGATGTCCCTATTCCCTTGACGATACTCACAGAAGAGTGAGGTTGATGAGATTGCCGATGGTGGATGGAATAGACCCACTCAGAGCGTTGTTTTCCATACGTCTGAAAAAACAAAGTGAGAACGGCTTTATTTAGTGAGAAACAGGCATGATTACTAGAAAAAATAAAAAGATGAAAGTAGCCAAAAACACGTTCCCACTATCTCAAATAAAAGTTTTGTTTCTCAATAATCACCTAGACAGATTTGAAACAGCAAATTTTGAGACTTGACGGATGGAACAGATACATTCAAACTGTTGCTATCATTCACATCAGGGCACCACACTATTGTTACAAGAAACAGCAGAAAACAAAAGATAGGAGAGGGCCGAACGGCGTCATTAAGGGAAGGTCATCATAGGAGAAAGACATGCTAGATTACGATCGTTTCACGATCTGTCCATTCTACTAGGTAACTTTTGGTGTGATTGCAGCATGAAAAATCTTTCTACACTTCAGCGTTGACCCTCCAACAATAGCCAAGGCGATATTTGAAATGTATAGAACTTTACGGGAATGGGCTCTATTCCCAGTCTTACGCAAACATGCAAACATGTTCATATACGATTTTTAGAGCAATTTTCACTAACTTCAATTAGGGTTTTCCAACTTCTTAAAATGTATGACGACACTTTTTCCAATACAACTTCTTCTCTCTCTAGCCATGGCTGCAAGCCTTGTGTTATAAAGGTATACAGAGCCTAGTCCTAGGCAATTTCTCATTTTCTACATCTCTTCGTAAAGTTTAGGACCTTAGGCCTAAGGGGCATGTCAGCACATGGAGGCTTGAATTGGTCTGGCTCATATTCTGCTTATGGAGGTTGTGTACTCTGTGGCACAATAACACGACCTAAGATGGTCACGTTTAAAGCCCGATCCATGAAAATCTAGCTGATTGGGTGCGGTGACCTCAGAGTCGTACGGGCCATGCCCATCAGGTTGGCATGAGCAGAGTACCCTGCCCTGATTGTTATTTTAAGGTTCAGGTTGGTTCGTTCTTTGATACAAGAATCGCATCAACGTATTTTGGCTCAATATGACTTTAGTTCTCGTTGAAACTTCTCAGCACTAACAAACGTTGAGCTCCAATCCGCACAGCCTATCCCCTAACCCTCCTCCCAGCAACCACGATTCGTCATGTTTTGCTTATGTGTAGCTTTTATGTTGATACAGCTCTCATTAAATTCTTGTTTGTGCTGGCAGATATCTAATTCCTTCCATGACCGAGTGCAAATATATTCCCTCCTCCCCTCCCCCTTCCCCCCGGCTTTGCACCTGCTTCTCTCCTACACCCACGTACGTCTGTACTATCGATGCACTGCACGGACTCGCTCCCCAGAGCAAGGGCGACTTTTAAGTCGACTCAAAACTCGTCTCAACCCCACAGCAGGGGCGCACTGCTCACCAAGGGCCAAAATTTTATCCCCTCCCCTCCCATACCATCCCTTCCCCCGCCCGTCTTCCCCAACCAGCTCCGCACCTGCTTCTCCAACACCGACTTCTGCCCTCCCTCCGACTCACGCCCTAACAACACCATTCCCCACATCCCTCGCATATGTGCTGGTTATCCTTTCTTGCGGCAGACGTGCGTGAGAGGCCAGCAAAGCTGGTTGAGGCTGACGGGTGTCCCGTTGGGACTTTTTAGGAGGGACGAGCAGAGGGAGAAGGAGGTGGGTTCAGAGTGGGTAGTGGGAATGTGGGATGAAGCGGGATGGACTTTCTACAACATCCGATCTCCTCTGCACCCCCCTTCGCCATCACTCACTGGCACTGCCTCTCTTTCACCCACCTCACTGCCCTTTCCCTCTGTCTCATCTGCGCCTTCTTCAGAGGCACCTCACCTCCCACATTCTCTCGCCACGTTTCAGCACAGATTCAGTTTTACATCGCCATTTCTCTGATATCCACCTCCACTTCCATCCCCTATACCAGCGTCTGCCTCGCTGCGTGGACTTGGCCCCCCATAGCACGGACGCACTACTCACTCCTTTCCCCATACCCTCTTCCTCCCCTCTCCTTCTCCTCCACTTTCCCCCCAGTTCCGCACTCCTACACCAACGTCTGCCCCACAAATATGTGCCTCCACGGTGGTGGCTCATTGCGATCACCATGCAGTGTTCTTTCCTCTTCCCTTTCCACCTCCTGTCTTACCACCAGCTCCGCTCGACACCTGCTTCTCCTGCACTGGCTTCTGCCTCTATCGACACCGTCTCCCACTTCCCTCTCATAAGGAACTGTGCTGTTTACCCTTTCCCCCCTCTCCCATGCACCCCCCCCCCTCTCCACCCTCCGCTCCCCCCTTCAGCTCGGCACCTGCTTCTCCCGCACCAACTTGTGCTTCACCGACTCCCACTCCTATGGCGAGGTACAATATGCTGACGTGGAGGTGCGAGGGAGGCTGCAGGCGAAGCAGGGCGAGGCAGGGCTGCTGGGTGCCCCGTGGCGGTTTTTGAGGGCAGACGAGCGTAGGGGCGAGCAGAGGAAGAAGGAGGTGGGAGAAGAGAAGGTGGTGAGGGGGACGTCGGTCTATCATGGTTCACCAATAGGTCACTAGTAGCGAGGCTGCTGGGTGCCGGCAGTTTTCTTTCTCAAGGACGAGCAGTGGGAGAAGGAGGTGTATCGTGGGTTGCTTATGGATCATTAGCAGCTCACTCTCAGGTCAGTCAGGTGACTTTCAGGTGGTTGAGCTGTGTTTGAGGTGGATCCAGGAGAGGCTAAATGCCATGGTGGTGTTCTCAAGGTCTCTCCATCTTTGCTTCATGCCCTGCGATTGCCTTGTATCTGAGTGTCCTGCACTTGCAACTTCAACGTCGCCTCCCCCATCCCCTTCCCCATCCACATCCCCATTAATACCCCCCCCTCCCCAGGTGCATTAGTGCAGCACCCACCTACCTGTCTCTCTACCTCTGGCCTCCCTCCCCCCTAATCCACACCCACCAGGGTGTGCATAGTGGTCAGTAACCTGCCTCTACCGAATCAGGTCTGTGCTCTCAGTTGTCGCCTGGCTTGCCACCCCTGCAATGTGGAGAAGCCTTTTCCTTGATCTCACAACCCCTTATTCGCCTCACCACAGCATCACAGCATCACAGCATCGCCCCATCATCTCATTCCCCATCATCTCATTACCCCATCATACCCCACCATGACCGTGCATTGCCTTCGGCCCTCACTGCAATGGTTGGTGTGAGGAGCTATGGTGTGCACATCTCCTCATTCCCTTCTTCTCCATCATTCCCTCACGCTTCGCCAAGCCATCAATTTCGACTGCCGACGTCAACAATTCTCCCCGCACGGCTGACCATCCGCGACCACGCCTTACCGTGAATCTGGCCGAGCTCATTGAAGGGCTGTACGATGATGCCATCGACAAGTTCAAGAGTCAATGGCAGGCGCGGTTTCCGTGGCTGCAAATCACAAAAACCACCTCAGGCTTGCCTGCCTTCAAGTGTACTGTGTGTGCAGCTTATGCAGGCGACGGAGGCAAGTGCGGGAGACGCGGCAAAGGAGCCACGGACTTGCAGACCCAGTCGTTCCGTAAACACGCGGGCACGGCGAAGCACAAGCTGGCGATGGCGAGACAAACAGCAGTGCAGGAGTGCGGAGCGAGGCAGCCGCAGATCGACCAACATCGCGGCACCACGGACGGAGAGCAGTCGCGCGTCGTCGCCCTTCTCGACTCCCTGCTGTTCATCAGCAGGTCCGATGCGCTGATGGGGATGTGGGTGAAGCTTGTCCGTTACCTGGCGGAGAAGGGCGTGCCTGGCTTCCCGAAGAAGGGCTATGGCACCTACTATACCACGTAAGTGCAATTGCCGGATGTTATTTGGTGCAATTTCCTGATCCTGTTTGACGCCTTTCCTGTCTGTTTGATCCTGGAGTTAATGTGCAAACTGCTGTCACTGCATGCAGATACGGTTTCGGGGAGCTGACGCAAGCGACTGCGACATGGCTGCAGACCACGCAGCTGGAACACGTTCTGGCGTCGCCCTTCGTCGGCATCGCAATCGACGAGAGCACGGATAGGTGCAGCGGGAAGCACCTGATCCTCTTCATCTCGTTCATCCGTGACTACAAGCTGGTCACGGAGTTCATGGCTCTTCTTACCGTGGAGAAGGCCGATGCAGCTTCCCTCCTCAGCGTTCTGTTGTCACACCTGCAGGCTGTCGGAGTCGACCTTCAGCGCATTACGGGGATCAGCACCGACGGTGCCAATGTCATGATGGGCAGCAGGTCCGGCCTCACCACACGCCTCCGACTCCGCATCCCCCATCTCGTGTCTTCTCACTGTATCGCGCACAGGTATGTGTGGTTGTTTGTGGTTTTCAGTTGTGTTTACCGTCTTTACGAGTGCTTCTTTATCCATGTACTAATGATGTTTACCATCTTGTGTTCAGGGAGGCCCTCGCGGCCAAAACGGCGGCCGAGAAGGTTCCAGCCTTCAATGTCATCGACTCGGTGATTCGCACCGTGGCAGAGTATCTCGGCCGTTCGGGACCGTGGCATCAACGGTTCATGGGGCTCCAGGAAGTCTTCGCGTCAACCTCTCTTGAGCTCCAGGGCATTCATTCCATCCGGTGGCTTTCGCGTGGCGACGCAGTGCTCAGGCTTGTCGCGGTGCTGCCGGCACTCATTGTGATGCTCAAGGAGTGGGACGCGGACCTCTATGCTCTGGTTACGAGCTACAGGTTTCATTTCCTGCTCTTCTTTATTGCAGATGTGCTTGAGCAGCTCAACATCCTGAACCGGGTGTTCCAGCAGAAGGAGGTGAGTTTGCCTGTAGCTGAGTGTTGATGTTGTGATGTATGTTTGTTATCTTTTAACAACCACTAATTATAGTGTTTTTGTTTTCTGTCCAGCTTGACTATGCCGGCGTGGCTGCCCAGATCAAGCGCACAACCTCCCACATCGAGAGCCGCTACGTTGATTGCGGCGACGACTTCGGTGGCGGGGTGAGCGAGCGGCTGTCCCCCTTCATCGCGCGCTATGGGGCACCTCGAAACCGGGAGGTGACAGTTGAAGGCATTGACTCGGACGGCCGCCCAGCACACTTCACATTCGAGCTGCATGAGGACAAGGTGGAGGGCTTCGAAGGGCCTGGGAGCCATGACGACTGCGTGGCGCTCTGCACGGAGTTCGCGGAGGTGATTGTTCACCAACTCGAGCATCGCCTAGGTGACCTGGATGGGATGTCCGGCGTGAAGCTGTTCCTGCCGGACGAGTACCCGCTAGATCGAGCCGAGAGGAAACGGCGGTGCCTTCAGTGGCTTCAGTCGCTGGTCACCTTGTTCAAGGCCGACCTGACGGAGGAGATCGTGCCAGGTAAGCCTTATCATCCTGCATCTTATGCTCTGCGTCTGTACTGTGCGATGCATGCTTCCTTGTATGTGTTTAATCTTCCCGCTCTGTTTGTTTACTCATTGCAATCTGCCGTTCACCCAATCCCGCCAGGAGTCAACAAGCGCCGTGCAGAGAAGGAGCTGCGCATGTTTACATCAGTGCTTGCAGCCTCTACCAAGGGTGAGCGCAGTTTCCACGCGGGCCTCACAGCAATGCTCAAGACGCTGGACTGGCGGGACAACTACCCCAACCTCGTTCATCTGTGGGTGGCGGTAGCTGTCCTGCCGCTGAGCACCGTGGAGTGCGAGCGGGGGTTCTCGAGGCAGAACATTATCAAGTCGTGGAAGAGAGGCGTCCTGAAGGATGCTCGGCTGGGCGACCTCATGTGCATGAGCCTCATGGACTACGAACCCAAGTGGGATGAGATCCTGACGATCTGGAGGGCCTACAAGAAGCGCAAGCCCCACAGCAACGCTTGTATCCCGCCTGCAGGAAAGCAGCAGAAGGAGGCCTTGGAGGCAGAGGAGGTGATGGAAGTAGAAGACGTAGAGCAGGATGATGAGGCATCCGATGATGATGATGGATTTTGATGAGTAGTAGCCTAGAGTAGATAGGATAGGATATGACCTCTGTAGCTGCTAGTTTTGACTCTTGACTGTTATGTGCCAGCAGTAGTATGTATGTACTATGTAGTGTAGGCCAGCTGTGCGTAGTACAACACCTCAGACTCTGGTATGTGCTGGACTCTGAAGGCGTCAGACTTTTTTTATAGGTTGCTCTGAAGTTTCAGCCTTTTTTCTAAACAAACTCTGACCAAAACAGACTAACAGAGTGTACCAACTCTGACCAATCAGACAGGGAAAAAACGAATCTGAGGGCCTGGTGCAAGGCAAGCAATAACAGAGATCACACAACCGAGAAACAACTACCGTCTGTGCAAGCAATAACAGAGATCACACTACCGTACCAAGAAACAAAAAAGGTCGATGCAAGGCAAGCAAGAACAGAGATAACACTACCAAGAAGAAAAGGAAAAGTCGGTGCAAGGCATGCAAGATGAGAGACCACACTACAAGTCCCAGAACAGTCCCATCCACTCATTCACCTCCCCTGGCAGCAGCTTCACTCCCCTGGCAGCAGCTTCACTCCCCTGCCAGCAGCTTCACTCCCCTGGCAGCAGCTTCACTCCCCTGGCAGCAGCTTCACTCCCCTGGCAGCAGCTTCACTCCCCTGCCAGCAGCTTCACTCCCCTGGCAGCAGCTTCACTCCCCTGGCAGCAGCTTCACTCCCCTGGCAGCAGCTTCACTCCCCTGCCAGCAGCTTCACTCCCCTGGCAGCAGCTTCACTCCCCTGGCAGCAGCTTCACTCCCCTGGCAGCAGCTTCACTCCCCTGCCAGCAGCTTCACTCCCCTGGCAGCAGCTTCACTCCCCTGGCAGCAGCTTCACTCCCCTGCCAGCAGCTTCACTCCCCTGCCAGCAGCACTCCCCTGGCAGCAGCTTCACTCCCCTGGCAGCAGCTTCACTCCCCTGGCAGCAGCTTCACTCCCCTGGCAGCAGCTTCACTCCCCTGGCAGCAGCTTCACTCCCCTGGCAGCAGCTTCACTCCCCTGCCAACAGCTTCACTCCCCTGGCAGCAGCTTCACTCCCCTGCCAGCAGCTTCACTCCCCTGGCAGCAGCTTCACTCCCCTGGCAGCAGCTTCACTCCCCTGCCAGCAGCTTCACTCCCCTGGCAGCAGCTTCACTCCCCTGGCAGCAGCTTCACTCCCCGGGCAGCAGCTTCACTCCCCTGGCAACAGCTTCACTCCCCTGGTAGCAGCTTCACTCCCCTGGCAGCAGCTTCACTCCCCTGGCAGCAGCTTCACTCCCCTGGCAGCAGCTTCACTCCCCTGGCAGCAGCTTCACTCCCCTGGCAGCAGCTTCACTCCCCTGGCAGAAGCTTCACTCCCCTGGCAGCAGCTTCACTCCCCTGCCAGCAGCTTCACTCCCCTGCCAGCAGCTTCACTCCCCTGGCAGCAGCTTCACTCCCCTGCCAGCAGCTTCACTCCCCTGGCAGCAGCTTCACTCCCCTGGCAGCAGCTTCACTCCCCTGCCAGCAGCTTCACTCCCCTGCCAGCAGCTTCACTCCCCTGGCAGCAGCTTCACTCCCCTGGCAGCAGCTTCACTACCCTGCCAGCAGCTTCACTGCCCTGCCAGCAGCTTCACTCCCCTGCCAGCAGCTTCACTCCCTTGGCAGCAGCTTCACTCCCCTAGCAGCAGCTTCACTCCCCTGGCAGCAGCTTCACTCTCCTGGCAGCAGCTTCACTCCCCTGGCAGCAGCTTCACTCCCCTGGCAGCAGCTTCACTCCCCTGCCAGCAGCTTCACTCCCCTGGCAGCAGCTTCACTCCCCTGGCAGCAGCTTCACTCCCCTGGCAGCAGCTTCACTCCCCTGGCAGCAGCTTCACTCCCCTGCCAGCAGCTTCACTCCCCTGCCAGCAGCTTAACTCCCCTGGCAGCAGCTTCACTCCCCTGCCAGCAGCTTCACTCCCCTGCCAGCAGCTTCACTCCCCTGCCAGCAGCTTCACTCCCCTGGCAGCAGCTTCCCTCCCCT